ATGAAACGAAAAGTGGGTACCAGTTAAAGGATTGGTTATAAGGACTGGAGATAGACTTGTTTTTCATTAAAACAGATCAGTCCGCTGGCGCACAGGTGAATCATCACCATTCACCTATGGTAGACCAAGATAAACAAGGATACCCATGTTATGCACCTGGGCTCCAGCTGACCGAAGCAAAAAACATCAACGGTGTATGTGTAGAATCAGAAGAATTCGAGATGTCCACGTGAGGCATGATAAACTGTTCAAGCCAGTACCAATGGGGATACATATCACACCGATGAACCTAAGACACAACCAACTGATAAAAGTTACAAAAGTTTGGGAAACCCACCCCCAAAATGTGACGAAAGACCCAAAGTTCGTTTGATAAGAACCAGACAAGATGAACAATAAACAGGTGATTTGATGGAATTTGAGTTAAGACAACAGACGAAACACGCGTGTTAACTTCAGACAGATTAATGGTTTGAGTGTACCATAGCAAGTTATTTCTCAAAAGAGCATCAATAGTGCAAACCTCATAAACCAAGAATGGGATCCGGTTTGCACAAATTTATCAGGCAGGACACCATGGAAACGGAGGATGCGACTAGTCGAACGATAGGTGTTCAGCTTACCAACTGAATTTGCAAGTGATTAGATTCATCTGGTTCTTCGGCAACAAACATGGCTCGGGAAAGGAGGACGAACTCTGGCTGATCACGCGGATGTTTTCATTTTTCCGCTTTTCAGGTTTCACTAACCTGCTACACTTTGCAACCTTGCCCCGCAAAAAACGAATCGAGATGGAGAGAATGAGCGAATCAATAAGGAGCTATCTATTTTACGAAATTCATACCCAATGAAAAATTTACTCGCATGATTGAAGAAAGAACGTGAAACATAGAGGAAAGTGGGGACGTTGATGTTATGCAGATAACGAAAACCCAAAAGGAAGAACTGTGATAGATAAAGGTGGGGTGCGAGTAGCGAAGGCACCGAATCAGTTATTTTTATCAACAGAGGAGTGAACGTGTTGATGGCTCCGGTTAAACAAGCCCTACTGCACAGTTGCAAAAGAGGCCCAGGATATCCGGAAAGTGTCACGTACTTTGAGCACTCGTCACCCATGTGCTCAAAACTTTGAGTGTTCGTGTATCCGGATTAGCAGAAGATGTTCCTCCAGAAAAGTTAACTTTCAAATTTCCGTTCAATACAAGTTGAATGCCTGGTGAAATCACTGTCACGGGTTGTCGAGTCCTGCTAGTTGACAAGACAGTTCCACTTGTCTACGTGCACATATACTATCATCGGCCTTATTCTCAAGGGCTTAAGTACACATCAGGTTGACGAGGG